ATGTCACCCTCAGTAGAGTGCTGTGGCGTCACAGCTCACAGCAACCTCAAATTCTTGGGCTTAAGCAATTCTCTTGCCTCAGCCTCCCAAGTAGCCGGGACTACGGGCGCCCACCACAATGCCTGACTAGTTTTTTATTGTAGTTGTCATTGTTTGGCAGGCCCAGGGTGGGTTCGAACCTGCCAGCTCAGGTGTATGTATGTGGCTGGTGCCCTAGTAGCTGAGCTACAGGCACTGAGCCAATGATGCGTTTTTTTGAAGGTGTGAATTTTTTGAGAGTCCTTGCAGAAATACTCAGCTATATGTTTATGAGTGAAATGATTTGCTTTCTGGAATTTCCTTCCAAAATAATGAGTGCAGCAGGGAGAGCAGGTGGAGACAGAGAGGAAACTAGACTGCCCAGCGGCCACATGGCAGTTTGCTCATTATGCCAGTCTCTCTATTTCTATTAATGTTAGAAATTTCCCATATTTAGGCCGGTGCGCATGCCTATAATGTCTGCACTCTGGGGGGCCGAGGCTGGAGAATCCCTGGAGCTCAGGAGCTCAACACCAGCCTAAGCAAGAGTGAGCCTCTGTCACTAGTAAAAATAGAAAAATTAGCTGGCTGTTGCGGCAGGCGCCTGTAGTCTCAGCTACCTGGGAGGCTGAGGCAGGAGGATCACGTGAGCCCAAGAGTTTGAGAGCAGTTTGAGGTCGCCATGAGCTATGATGCCATTGCACTCTAGCCTAGGCAACAAAGTAGGACTCTGTCTCAAAAAGAAAAAAAAAAATCCCATCAGTAAAGAAAGCAAGACTTCTAGATATCTGAACACGTGGAGGTTGGTGTTAAGTGCCACTCCCAGGGCAGAGGGCGGCTCTGTGCCCCTCTCTCTCTGGCTCTCTCCATCTGTATTCCCTGCAACATCTGACAGCACAGACCACAGTAGACGGTGGGAAGACCTTGTGTCTGGAGGGCTGATCAGGTCGGGGCATGTGAGACTCTCTCATGCTGAACTGAGTGACTCCGAAATTCAGAAAGCCAAACTAAGAGGCCCTGGTGGCCCCACTAACTGCAGAGATCACCAGAGAGCGGTCGGAGACCACACAAAAATTCCCCCAAAATTCACGTCAATCCCAGACTTGGATCCTACAAAGAACACGATTAGGCAAACAACTGTCATTTTCACATAAATACTACCAAGTACTTTTTATGAAATATTTAAAACAAGAAGTTACTGACTAGGCCAGGTCTACGGGGAATGGAGTCCATAAGATAAAAAGACGAGATTAATGGAAGGAGGAAAATAAACAGGAAGAACTTCGATTTTTAAGAAGCACATTATCTAAGCAGTGAGAGGTTTCATAATTCATCTATCTAGAAAATACACTGCTTCATAAAAGCATTTCTTTTTTTCTTTCTTTTTTTTTTTTTTTTTTGAGACAGGTCTCTCTCTGTCGCTTGGGCTAGAGTGCTGTGGCGTCACAGCTCACAGCAACCCCAAACTCCTGGGCTCAAGTGATCCTTTTGCTTCAGCCTCCGGAGTAGCTGGGACTACAGGTGCCCACCACAACGCCCGGCTAGTTTTTCTATTTTCAGTAGAGATGGGGTCTCCCTCTTGGGCAGGCTGGTGTCAAACTCCTGAGCTCAAAGGATCCACCTGCCTTGGCCTCCCAGAGTACTAGGATTACAGGAGTAAGCCGCCACGCCAGGCCAAAAGCATTTCTTAAAAAACATAAAAAAGTAAGAGTAACATCTCAAAATTCCCAGAGCAAAGGAATGAGAGGAGCAGGATGTGTCTAAGTTCAGTGTGAATTTTGACACCTCGGGAGGAAAAGCCCCAGCCCTATTCCCCTTGTTCTGGCAGAGCTTCCTCTTGGGAGAAAGAATTGCTGTAGGAAACCCCCAAAACACACAAACCCACCAGGGCTCACCCCAACCTTAAAATTCCTGGATGTGTCCCTGCCAGGCACCAGGAGACTCCCCCGGAAGGTTGCCCCCACCTGGCCCTCACCAGCTACCTAGCAGGCACCCCTGCCCCTGCCTCCCAGTAAGTGGTCAGTGTCTGAGCAGGGAGCTGCCCCTCCGGCCAGGTGACCACATCACTGAGAAGCCAGGTGCTGCACGCCTGTCCCCCCCACCCCCCCACCACCCATGCAACCTCCAGCCCTCAGGCATCAACTCTGTTGGGACCACCAGCGGAGGCACCACTGAGCAGGCTTTGATGAGTAAGTAGTATTTGGCCAAACTGAGTAAAAAGGATAGCTCAGGGGCCGGGTACAGTGGACCGCACCTGTAAATCCCAGCACTCTAAGGGGCGAAAGCAGGTAGATCCCTTGAGCTCAAGATTTCGAGACCAGCCTGAATAAGACGAAGACACTTTCAGTAGAGACATCTCTATGAAAAATAGAAAAACTAACTGGACATTGTGGTAGGTGCCTGTAGTTCCAGCTACCTGGGAGGCTGAGGCAAGGGAATCGCTCAAACCCAAGAGTTTGAGGCTGCTGTGAGCTATGATGATGCCCCGGCACTCTACCCAGGACACAGAGTGAGACTCTGTCTCAAAAAAAAAAAAGAAACGATAGCCCAGGTGGGGGGGTTCCAAGGCACCCCCTATGCCGTCCAGCACAGAACAGATTAGGGGAGACAGGGAGACGTCCTGACCCTAAATGTAAGACCTGGGCATTCCCACCACCTGCTCTGAGCACAAAAGGAAGCTAGGTATTTCTGCAGACCACCGTGACGGATTTCATAAAGAGGCCCAGACACAGAGCGTCCCTCACAGAGCTACATCCACAAAGACACCCAGTGCCTTACCTCAAACAGGCAATCAATAGGAGTTGAAGTCATCTGGGACAGTAAGCTCATTCTCTGCTTAAGAAACAGCCTGTCACCACATCCCTCCGATTCCTGCAGGAAAAACCAAATGACCTGTGTTATCCCCCATCAGGGATCCCTCCAGACAGAGGGCCCAGCAACCATGCTGGCTGTGTGTCACAGAACAGGATTTGCAGCACCCCTCCTCCCCAACCCCTCCTCACCCCCCCACCCCCCACCCCACCCTACCCCACCCCCATCTCACTCCCGATCACCCACTGAAATGGGGAGCAGGCTGTCAACAGGGCGGAAGGAGAAGGGCTTGCTAGAGGCAGCTGCTCTGGCTGTTCTCAGGTAGAAACTGGACTGGTGGCAGTGGACCAGCGGTGCACATGGGTGGGGAACGTGTCACCTCTGGTGTGGAATGTAGCATGCGCACCTCGCCCCGCGCAAGATGGAAGCCTGGGCCATCCTGGCGAGCATCCTTCCCCCCTCAAACCTCTGACCTCATGCCTACAGAGCCCTGCTCTCTGCATGTCAGCAGGGCCTGCAGCCAGAAAAACCATCTGACAGGGCTGGTCTCTATTTCCCAGTGTTGACCAAAAGGAGAGGGGGTAGGTCTTGCTTTTTGAACATATTTATTAAAACAGCAGGCAGCATGGCTGCAGGGCCTCCAGTAAGACTCTAAGAGGATTCCTGACCCAGAGAGATTCTACACTCTAACATCTCTTGGGCATCTCAAGGATCCCCCCCCCTAATTAATAAATTCAGATCTTCATATCGCAGGGAATCTTTACCTGGAGAGAAAAATCTAGTAATGCATCTTTACCTTATGAAATAATTTGTTTCTGCTTTTTTTTTTTTTTTTCTGAGACAGAGCCTCAAGCTGTCACCCTAGGTAGAGTGCCATGGCTTCACTGCTTACTGCAACCTCCAACTCCTGGACTCAAGCGAGTCTCCTGCCTCAGCCTCCCAAGTAGCTGGGACCACAGGCGCCCGCCACAATGCCTGGCTATTTTTTGGTTGCAGCCATTATTGTTGTTTGGCGGGTCCGGGCTGGATTCGAACCTGCCACCTTAGGTGTATGTGGCTGGCGCCTTAGCCGGTTGAGCCACAGGCACCAAGCCATGAAATAATTTGTTATTGTTATTTTTTTGACACCAAGTCTCTGTGCCCTGAGTACAGTGCCGTGGCATCATAGCTCACAGCAACCTCAAACTCTTGAGCTCAAGCGATCCTCTTGCCTCTGCTTCCCAGAGTGCTAGAATTACAGGCATAAGCCACCGTGCATGGCCTATGAAATAATTTCTAATAAGACACTTCAAAGGTCACTTAAGAACCAGCAACCCAACTGCCTAATGATAAATTAACTTCTGGAAAGGAGAGAATGATGGGAGGGAAAGAAAATTTTTTCCCAGCCAGCTGAGGCCTTAGGAACTCTCCAAGCCCTGACATATTTGGGGGTAAGGTCCTCTCCTTACAGTACTCTAAGATTTGACTGAAAGCCCCTAAAGCTAGAGCTATGAGCACCACAGGGGACAGGCCCTTTCTGAGGTCCCCTGTAAGCAGGGGTCTCACACCAGTACCCTTAGGAAGGTTACTTAGCAAAGCAACACCTATGAAGGTCAAGAAATCCAAAACCCACACTTAGGCTTCCTCCTACACCACGTGCTTCTGAAGGTGACCAGGACGGATGAAGTAGGATATTAATGCCAATCACAATGACACGACCACCAACTTTCCCCGGCAACTGGGAGGTTAGTGTTCAGTCCGCTGAGTGGTTTTTAAGACTCATAGCCCTAGGCTAGGCACGCTGGCTCATGTCTATAATCCCAGCACTCTGGGAGTCCAAGGCGGGTGGATCACTTGAGCTCAGGAGTTTGAGACCAGCCTGAGCAAAGTGAGGCCTCCACTCTACTAAAAACAGGAAAACTAGCCAGGCGTTGTGGCAGGCACCTATAGTCCCAGCAACTGGGGAGACTGAGACAAAAGGATTGCTCAAGCCTGAGAGCTTGAGGTTGCTGTGAGCTATGACGCCACAGCACTCTACCCAGGGCAACAGAGTGAGACTTTGTCTCAAACAAACAAAAAAAGACTCCCAGCCTGGAAGTAGCTGAGGCCCCATTCTTGGGAGACCACTTAAGAATCTCCCTCCCTACAGGCCATCCCCACACATCCCCTGGTGTGTCAGGTACCACGACATCCACAAAGCAAGGCCAGGGCAGCAGTGAGATCTTACGGGCAGTTTCACGCAGAGGTTTCCTTGCCGAATGTATTCAATCGCGGCTTCAATGGAGGTTAGGCAGTATCCCAATTCATCTTTTGCTGAGCTGCTGAATCTAAAGTTTTTGATATAACTCAAATTGGCCATCCTAACAAAAAGGAAAAGAAACACAGTTTTATTATTTTATATCAAATTAACCCTTCTGTAAAACAATACCATTAGCTTGGGTGAGTGATCAAATAAATACCTAACTAAAGTCGGTCGGACAGCACGGAGAGCTGCCCACAGAGTGCATGCAATTAGGAAAACAGGTGAAACTACTTGTCGCTTCCCTGAAAGAGGCTGCTTGTTGGCTCGGCGCCTGTGGCTCAAGTGGCTAAGGCACCAGCCACATACACCCAAGGTGGAGGGTTCGAATCCAGCCTGGGCCTGCCAAACAACAATGGCAGCTGCATCCAAAAAAAAATAGCCGGGCACTGTGGTAGGCACCTGTGGCCCCAGCTACTTGGGAGGCGGAGGCAGGAGACCCGCTTGAGCCCAGGAATTGGAGGTTGCTGTGAGCTGTGATGCCAGGGCACTCTACCCAGGGCAACAGCTTGAGGCTCTATCTCAAAAAAAAAAAAAAAAAAAGTTCATTATTATAAAGTGAGCTGTGGGTTCTTGTGGGGAGAACATAGGCATTGGGGCCAGAAAGAACCAAAGTCAGCTTCCTGCTCAGCCACTGATTAGCCACAGGGTTCAAAAAGAGAAACAGAAGCCGTCTGGGCCTCCGTTTCCTCCTGTGTAAGTGGAAGGGCAGCCAACCTGTCCAGGATGACAGGAACACAGCACTGGCCTCTGAGGGGCGTGTGGTAGCAGTGCCTCTTCCTCAGGCTCCACTAGAACCACCACAGCACAGCCCTGCCATTTCTCAAAGTAGCTTCTTGTTTTTTGAGACAGAATCTACCCTGGGTAGAGTGCCACAACATCATTATGGCTCACAGCAACCTCAAACTCCCAGGCTCAAGCATCCTCTTGCCTGAGCCTCCCAAGTAGCTGGGACTATAGGTGTCCCCACCACCAACAACGCCTGGCTAATTTTCCTATTTGTAGTAGAGATGAGGTCTCACTCTTGCTCAGGCTGGTCTCGAACTCCTGAGTTTAAGCCATCCACCTGCCTCAGCCTCCCAGAGTGCAGCAATCACAGGTGCTGAGTTTCCCCTCCCAGCCGTTTATCTAATTAAGGGTCTTAGCAAAACATGTTACCAGTTAGGGACCTCTGTCTTCACAAGCAGATACAGCAGGACGGACAGCAGGTCATCAGCACACATGGTCTCCAAGTTAACTGCAAGGGAGAAGCACACATCAGAGCCGTCACGAGACTCACACGGACGGGTGAGTGTATCAGCTCCTTACCGCCCTCCAAGCTGCAAAACCACACTCCACTAAGATTACACATCGGGGAGAACTCATGTAATTGCACAATTTCCTTTATAGTGTCCTAAACAGATGTCAGGTTCGGGGGTGGGGGTGGGAAGAAGAACGCCCAGCATTTTCAGAACACGCACAAAAGCAGGTAACTGCTAGCAGACCACACACCCTGCACCACCCTCCTGGATAGTTAAAGAGCCCTGGCCACAGGGGCAGCAGACTCAAACTGGACATGTGCCCAGAGCCGACCCCAAAGCCTCCTTCCCCACCTGAGGTCATTTCCACTTTACGCACGTGGAGCCACCTGCCTGTGTATGACTTCACTTTTTCATTTTCAAATTTGCAGTCACCCATCCACATTTAAAAATTCACAGTACACGAGCAAACCGTGATGTCCCTCCCATGCCCACCTGCCACCCAGTCTTCTGTCCCAGACGCTAGTGCTGGTGTCCTCTGCGAATCTCCCGAGGCAGCCTATTAGGACACCACCATAGTCAGGATATGTGGCTGCTCCTGCTCTCTCTGATGCTATTGGAAGTGTGCCATATATACTCCTGATTCCACTCGGCCTACCCTGAAGAGCAACCCCTGTTTATGTGCAGAGATTTTTTTCTGGTTTTTTTTGAGACAGAGTCTTACCGTCACCCTGGGTAGAGTGCTGTGGTGTCACAGCTCACAGAAACCTCAAACTCTTAGGCTCAAGCGATTCTCTTGCCTCAGCCTCCCAAGTGGCTGGGACTATAGGTGCCCACTACAACACCTGGCTAGTTTTTCTATCTTTAGTAGAAATGGGGTCTCACTGCTGCCCAGACTGGTCTGGAATTCCTGAGCTCTGGTGATCCTCCTGCCTCAATCTCCCAGACTGCTGGGATTACAGGCGTGAGCCACCGCACCCAGCCGGTTGGGCTCAGTTCTGAGGTGCTGCTTCTCCATCACTATTTTCACACCCTGAATGTGTCTAACCTACCCTGCAAACCAAGCATCCACTCCTGAGAACACACTCTGAGACCTCACACTGGGACGCACTGCTGCACAGCACCGCTCCTCAGCAAACCCTTCTATCCAGCCCCTTCCCCAAGCACAAACCTCGATGGCTCGGAGACTGTGTGATCAGCTGCACCACCTTTCGCAAACAGACCAGCTTCTGCTGTGGGGAGGTGCACTTGTTCAGCTGAGCCAGTTCTCTCTTTGCACGGGGGATGTTGAAGCTGAAAGTAATTTAGAAGTAACTTCACCCCACAGTGGGCGTGGTCCTCCTCCTAGACCTAATACTGTTACTCAGGTTCTATGTGTCTTACAATAGACCAGATGGAAAAAAAAAAAATAGATTCTGCAAAGTAATCTGACTCGAGTCAGTGGCAACACAGAACAGTTTTAAGTCCTATGTAGAGTGCAGGTGAAAGTTAGCTGAGCTGCACCAGGGGAGAAGAGAGAGAGAGAGAAGAAAAGAGAAAGAAAAGAAAGGAAAAAAAGAACAAGAAAGGAAGGGGAGAGGGAGGGAGGGAGGGAGGAAGGAAGGAAGGTAGGTTGGTTGGTTGGAGAAAAAATACAAATCATTAGGCCCCAGAGGGAAATAGCCCTGGGTGGAAAGGGGTGACTTAAATATAAATATGTCAGACATTTTTGTGCCCTAATAAAAATTAAATTAACTCAAAAGGGGATGCCGCTATGGTAGGGTTCCCTCAGGGGCACAGGGAGGAGGGCCCCCTTACACCCAGAACACACCTGTGTGAGTTACGTGCCCTCCTGTAGACCAGCCATACAAAACCCCACACCAGGAAGCACCTGTCAGCTTGTAAGCCAGTGCGCAGGTGCGGGGCTGGCCACCAGTCACCTGTCAACTTCAGCTCTTGACGTTTGATCACAAGTAACATCGCTGCTCCTCAACCCACCACATCAAAGTCCTGCCTCAACCACAAAGAAGCCCCACTTCAGGGAGAAAGCAGCGTCCACAGGGCCCTCACCTGAACTCAGGCTTCACCCCGATATCTTTCTGCTGAAGATCTTGCAGGCTTCTTGTGATTTTGTTAAAGGCGGCATCCTAACAACAGATATTAACAAAGCTTCAAATTTCTTAAAAAGCACAGAACGGGGCTTCTGTCCTGGGTGACAGGGACAGAGACCTACCTCACTCGCCTCCATGGTACCCACGTATTTAAAGATGAGATCGTAAATTTCATGGTGGACGTACATCTGTGAAATCAACGGACCCCAGTTCAGGGGCTATGTCGGGTGACAATGACAGCCTCCCAGCCACTGCCCCTCTGCTCCTAACCTCCACTGCCTGCTTCATCAGGCTCATCTGGGCCTCCTGCTTGGCAAGAATTCTCTGGAGGACAAGACAAGGGCAGTTAAAGAGCTGGGGCCGCATGTGGGCAGACTGTAACCTGTCTTTGGAAGTCCTGCTGCTTACCAGGTGAGAGTCCCTCAGAAGCTGCTGGAGGCATTTGGTGTAGAGAGCATTCACGGAGTCCTGCAGAGAGACACCAGCTGCTCTTACCATCAGCTGCTCTCACCACCCCAGGCCGAGAGCTGGGGGCGGTGGCACACTCCTATACTCCAAGCAATCTGGGAGGCAGAAGCAGGTGGATCGCCTGAGCTCAGGAGTTCAAGACCAGCCTCAGCAAGAGCAAAACCCCATCTCTGCTAAAAATAGAAAAACTAGTTGAGCCTCTTGGTGGGTGCCTGTAGTCCCCGCTACTGGGAAGGCAGGTGGATGGGTTAAGACCAAGGCTTTGAGTTTGCTGGGAGCTATGATGCCAGGCCACACCATGGCACTCTACCCAGAGTAAGAGACAGAAAGACTATCTCAAAAAAAATAAAACCTGAACATGGGGGGGTACCCCAGAGCTTAAAGTGCTAATGCAAGTTTTTTCTTTTTTTTTAAGTGTCTTGCTCTTGGACAGCACCATATACTAAGGGTGGGGGATTGGAACCTGGCCCCAACCAAACTGCAACCAAAAAAAAAAAGAGTCTCGTTCTATTGCTCCAGGCTAGAGTGCCCTGGTAACATCGCTCACAGCAACCTCAAACTCCTGGACTCAAGCAATTCCCTTGCCTCAGTCTCCCAAGTAGTTGGGACTACAGATGCCCAGCTAATTTTTCTATTTTTAGTAGAGATTGGGGCTCTCACTCTTGCTCAGGCTTGTCTCGAACTCCTGAGCTCAAGCAGTCCACCCACCTGGGCCTCCCAAAGTGCTAGGATGACAGGTCTGAGCCCCCACATGAGCCCCCACACCCGGCCACTAACACAAGCTTTACCAAATCAGTTACACAACTGATTTTCGAAAATATTTTAGATGTATATGCATTAAAAGCAGGAAAAATTTCCTCTCGGGGTTAACATAGATATACCTTCCCACGATTCTCAAGTACTTTACAGTAGCTTATACTATTTTTTTTAAGAGAGAGAGAGTTTTGCTGTGTTCTCAGACTGGCCTTAACCTCCAAGGCTCAGTGGATCCTCTTGCCTCAGCCTCCCATGCAGCTGGGAGTACAGGCATGTGCCATCACAGGCAGCACAACTTTTATAAAAGTTATAAAAGTTTTAAAATGAGACATTTGGCAGAGGCAGTGGGAATGTTTCAGGGTAGACGCAGGGACCTGGTGCCCTGGCTGGGCCAGGGACGGGGAGCACCAGGCAGGACAGGACACAGCTACTGACTATGTGGTGACGGAGGCTCTTTCTTTCACATTCTCGGAATGTTCGGTGGAAAGAGGCGATGTTCCTGTTGAATCTCTCGGAGTGCCTTCCCAAAAATTCTCTCACATCTTCAATGGTTTTCAGGGAAAAGGGATCTGAGGGTGCTGAAGGCTCTTCTGAAAAAGAGATGGAGAGGTCAGGCTGGCTGAAACCTCGGCTGCCTCCTGGTGGGAGAAGTTCCAGACCCTTTCCCTCCTACTGGGGGCAATGTCCTCATTTCAAGATATTGCACAAGAACAACCCAGTTACAGGACAGCCTGGGGTTCAGAAGCCAGGTCCTCTCAAAGCCTTTTCCTGGAAGCAGGCCCAGACTACCTAGAACTGTGGGCAGGAACAGTGACACTCATGTGAAAGCCCAGATTCCTGATGACAACAGCCTCAGAGGGCACTTGGCACACTGATTGTCATCTGAAGTTCCTGGGGCAAATGAAGAATTGTTATTCATTAAAAATAATGACATCTCATGGACAGAAAGGAGTACTTTTACACTACCTGTGAGACTGCAAACTAATACAACCTCCTTGGAAGGAAGTACAGAGAATCCCCAAGGAACTCAAGTCGGACCTCCCATTTGACCTTGCAATCCCATTACTAAGCATCTACCCAGAGGAAAAAAAAATACTTTTATCATAAGGGCATTTGCACTAGACTGTTTATCACAGCTCAATTTACAGTGGCCAAAATGTGGAAACAACCTAAATGTGGAATGGATTAACAAGCTGTGGTAGATGTACACCATGGAGTACTATTCAGCCACTAAAAAAGATGGAGACTTTACATCTTCTGTATTAACCTGGAGGGAGACGAAACACATTCTTCTCAGCAAAGTATCGTAAGAATGGAGAAGCAAGAATCCCATGTATTCAGTAGTAACGTGAAGCCAGTAGACGATCTGATACACACCCTCATAACAGAAAAACTCACATCAATTCAAGGTCGGGGGTGGGACCACGAGGGGAGCAGGGAGAGGTGAGGAGGGCGGGGGATGAGTTTGGTCCCACTTAATGGGGACAATGTTAGGGTGTGAGCACACCTCTTGGGGGCAGGACATCATTATAAAGAGGGACTCTACCTAACAAGTGCAAACATGCTAACCTAATTCTTTGTACCCTTAAATTAACCTGGAATAAAAAATAATAATAATGCCATCTCACAGAGGCACCACAGTGGGGCTGGCTGAGTAATGAATGACTGTGTAAGAGCCAGCCCTAAAGCTGAGAGCCAGCGACAAGACCAGGACTATGCTTTGCACTACTACAGGGGTGGGAGTGGGGACATTCACACCCCTGGTTCATCACAGTACACCTGAGGTCTGTGTGAACAGTGCCCTTGGAACTGTACAGTATCCAAGCTGTGCAACCATACATGGCAGCCGCCATCCACATCTCCTTAGCGCCAGATGACTGTGAGTAAGTTCTAGAGAGAACTACTTTGAACACTTATGCTGGTTTCTAGTGGGCCCTTGAATATTTCTGGGATGTTTGACATTGTAACAGGTGTGTCATGAAGGAGTACAACAAACACATTTCTCCAACTCAAGAGAAAAAGGTTTTCTTGAGACAGTATCACTCTGTCACCTTGGTTAGAGTGCCACAACGTCACAGCTCACAGCAACCTCAAACTCTTGGTGATCTGCCTGCCTCCCAAGTAGCTGGGACTACAGGTGCCTGCCACCACCATGCCCAGCTAGTTTTTCTATTTTTAGTAGAGATGAGGATCTCACTCTTTTTTTTTTTTATTTATTTAAGAGACAGAGTCTCAGTTTATCGCCCTCGATAGACTACTGTGACATCACAGCTCACAGCAACCTCCAACTCCTGGGCT